GTGAGCCACATGGGTTTTCTTCACCGATGCACAGAACCTTGGCGATCCAGGCCCATTGGTTAACGCCCACACCTGGACCTCAATGGCTGTCTTACAAGTTCCCACCGCCCTCCTCAAGCACATGGCTGAGCGGGAGCCTCTTTCGAGCTCAGGTCACCCCAAATGCCCAGGTGTCGTTCCCATTCTTCCCCCCTAACTAGCCCCCTCCCCTCCATCATCCTCTGCCTCACTGTGTTTCCTCCACTCCTCTTGTCTCCAGAGCAGACTCTGAAGTTAACTTAGAAAATTCAGACAGCCCGGATTCCTTCACGTTTTGTGGATTTAATAGGGCCAAATCAAGATTTAAAATGGCAGGATCCTAGAGCCCTATGTCCTGGGCAAACCCCAGCTACAGGTGAAAGAATGAGAGCTCAGAGAAGTGAAATAAAATTACCTGGAGCCACACAGCCAGGAGACAAATGCAGGCATCCCAGCTCCCAAGCTGGACGTTACTCCCCGGGGAAATATGGATTGTTTTTTAAAATCCAATCAGGAGCAGTAACTTTTAAGCAAATAACAAACATGTACTAAATCCAGGAGCTGCTTACATAAGGAGTCATAATTTAGCGGTTCAGTTCTAGGCTCTGGGCCGGACTCCAGCTTCACCATTTACCTGCCACACGACCGTGGTCAGTTTATGGAAACGCTCTTTGCCTCCATCTCACCACCTGAAATGAAGGTCATGAGCACCTACCTCCGGGGCTGTTAAAATAAGAAGACTCCGTACACGTAAAGCACACAGGACAGAGCCCAGCCCGCGTTGCATGTCCAATAGGTTCGCCATCACTCTCAAGATTCCAACCACCGCCCGTTTTTTAAAGTGACGTGTACAGGGTTTGGGGCGTTACAGATGACCTCGTCTGCTGGAGATCCATTTCCTTCCTTTTATGATCTTAAAGCCCTTCTTATGGCTTTGGTGTGTCATCACCTAAACATCCCCGACAAGGTCCATCAGAGTTTTGGAGTAATGACAGAGGCACAAGGAGGCAGCCAAGACTGCAAGTCACACAGCATCACGCTCAACGGCCCTTGCTGACCTCAGCACTGACGCCACAGCCACGCAGGGCCAGTGCTGAGTTAAGACAGAGCATTCCATCGCTCAGCACGCCTGCCTTCTGCGGACACGGAGAGCCCGGCCTGGTGTGCATGGACACGTGCTCACCGAGTGGGGCTGCTGGTCCCAGAAACGGGCACCTCTGCTGTAGAGGGCCAAGGCACCCTCCTTAGTTCACTATCTGTTTTGTAAAGTAACCTGACAACTGCGTGGCAGTCCCTTCAAACATTTCTCAACTCCCCTCCTGGATGAGGAGATGGTGATGCTGCCCCAAAAGTCCTAAGTATACCGAAGGCCCAGCCACTAACCTTCGTGGTCGGTAACACAGAAAGGGGTGCACTTCCATATTAAACACAGGTTGGCAAAATCAATAAAATGTGAAACTGTGCCCTGTCTTCTGCAGCTAATAAATGCCCAGGTCCCATTATAGTTTAATTATTAATCTAAGTACACACATCGTAAGAGCATCTTGTCCTATTTTTCTTTTTTAATAGAACCAAACAGAGTTGGGACATATTTCCACATCCTATTTAACAAGTTACACAGAGATTAGAACGATTTTGCTCTTACAGTGACTAGCTTTAAAATTTGTTCCTAAGTAAATTGTATTAACAGCTACTGTAAAATATTTGCAAAAAAGGATGAAGACCTTTCAGAGCTGTTTTCTTTGGGAAACAATATGGAATACTAATATTTGGAAACCAGAGATCTGCTAGCTTGAAATTCTGGACAGACATTGGCCCATCATGAGATGCACTTAAGAATAACTACTATTCCCTTGTCACCTCCAGCAAGGAAGATTCAAACAAGACATTTATGGCCCTGGACAGTTTTCTCAGTGGTTAGAGCATAGGCCCACACACAACGAAGAGTAATGGGTTGGATTCCCAGTCAAGGGCATGTTACCTTGGTTGCCGGAAATGGTGCAGAGGCAACCAATCAATGTGTCTCTGTCACACTGATGCCTCCCTCCCTCCCCCCCCCTCTCTCTCTTTCTCTCTTCCCCCCTCTCCACCCTCCCCTCCATTCTCTCTCAAAAAATCAATGGAAAAAATATTCTTGGGTGAGGATAAAGAGAAAAAGACAGTTCCAGGCTCTAAGCAAAACACTGGACTTTCTGTAGAGGGTAGATATCAAATTGCCAACTGTAGAGTTACAGCCTGTCATGACCTTGAGCCCAAATATGTATTTACTGCTGACCAAAACAGCTTGAAGGATTTCTACGGATTCATCGTTTCCTTGGTGATGCATACGTCATTAAAAATAGATCACGCACAGATCTCCAAAAGGATGCAAACATGGGCATTAATTGCAGCATAGCCTGTAATAACAAATACATGGAGATAATCTAAATATCCCTCGATAGAAGAGTGATTATACTGTGCTACATCTGGACAGTGAAATTCCATCTGACCACTAGAAAGAACATGGTCAACTACAGCTGATGACTCAAAAGATCACAACCCTACACTGGGGTGGAAAAGCACAGGGATGATGTTTCTTATGGGCTACCTTTGGAAAAAGATCATACAGACATACTTTATTTTATATATCATTCTACATATTACCCTGCAACTAGCTTTTTCCCTTCCCAGATGTGTTTACGGATGCAAAAAGGTCAGTACATAACACTAAACCCAGTCCCAGCAAAGGGTACTGGGAGGGCGGGTTTAATTTTCTATATTTTGTTACATAATTTTTTTTTTAACTCAAGAGCATATTCTGTGTTTTTCAATTTTAAGTAATCTTCAACTTCATAGAAATCACTTCTGATGCTTACTGAACATACAAGAAGTTCATTGTGTTCAAGTTTCTCTCTTGTCATCTCCATGAAATATATTTCTCTCAACCATATACTTTTTAGGTCACACAAGATTCCTCACCCTCCCACCTGCCACAGAAGGTTATTACCCCCCACCCCAGGTGCACATGGCCAGATGGGGAGTATTCTGGAATCACTAAAAATGACCAGAAATCAAAAACTTTAAAAAGATATCAAAGCAGAGTCTGTTTTCTGTGACATTATTTGTTTTTTGTCCAATGCATCACCTCTAAGTTCCTACTCCCCCTCCATCGCACCCGCAGAGAGCTTATTCTGCTTTCTTTTCCCACAAATAATTGCTCTGCTTTTCCTCCCTTCAACCATGAGAACTTCCAGGACCTCCCATTTCCCACTGAGAACCCCGGGGGGCAGCCAGGTTCCCACTGCAGGAAATGAGAGGCAGTCAGGGGATATCTCTCTCATTCATCCTTTAGGATGAATAATTAAACATTAAAATATAAAAACTCAAGAATCACAGAGCCTTGAAAATGCAATGCCACATATCTAAGTTCTTTAAAGCAGTAAAGCAACTTAAAAAAAAAAATAGATACATTCTGGTGGCTGTTCTAGAAAGACATCAACACAAATGACAAGTCCAGTTCCCATCCCAGTGAGATAGAAGGAAGTGCTATAAAACAGACCCAACAGCACTAACAATGGTGAAGACTGGCTTCGATGTTCTCTTCTTCATATTTACATTTTCTAGCTCCTACCATGGACACCTGTGAACTATGTAATAATTTTTTTTTAAGGGCTTAACAAACACAGTGGTTAAGACCCATATCGAGCCGGCAAACCAGACAAAGGTGCCTCTGCTCCGAGGGCGCCAACATTCTCCTAGGGAATCTTCTGAAACATCTTGGAAATGAAGAGAAACATTCCCTCCCCTGGAGACCGCCCTCATCTCCCTGAGCTGAGGCAATTACTCTCTTTTTCATATCTCCCCCCACACACCTACCCCCGCCTGCTGTTCTGCCACTGTCATTCCAGCAAACGTATTTCTACGCTGAAATTCTCGATTCATGTACTGCATTTCCCCCTTTCAATTCCAAGCTCTTCCGGAACCAGGACAGCAATGCATTGATGTGTGTGGCCCCATGACAGGGTCTGACATGGGATCCGTTTCTAGGTTTCTGGAATGAATGAGAAGTGTGCTTGCTGCACATTCACCCAAATATTTCACTGAGCTCCTACGGTAAATGGTGAATCCCATCGGAAGTACCCCCCATATGCATTAGAGAAGCCAAACTCTCGTGTAACTGGGAGCAACACCCACACTTTCCAACGTCAAGAACAAGTGTGTAGCTGCCAGGGCCCGAGTAGACCGTGAAAGACACGCGTGCTTATCTGCCTGGGAGGGAAGGAGAAGGCACACCGCTTTGAACAGGGTTTCTCTGGTGGACTGAGGAGCTGATGGCGTGTGTCTAACAATGGTTGTAGATACAGGAGTATTCGTTTTCTTCTTTGTGACTTTCACATGTTCTCATGTGTCTTCTGTATGACTCAGTGGTCACTGAAACCATTCAACTATTTCCAAAGGCTTTTTTCCCTTGATTGAATATACATACTGTAAACACCATGTTCTGGGCACTATGTTTTGGCAGGTTTGGACATGAAGGAGTCATATGTGGGAGACCCAAATACAAAACAATAGGACACCACTTACACAAGAGTTCCCTGTTGTATAGAACCCAGGTAAATGGTCTGCCCTTCATGCTCCCGCTTTCTGTTCCCTGAGGGAAAGAGGAAAACCTCAGGACAACCCTTTGGAAAAGGGAAAAGCGAACTACACCCAAATGCACAGCTCAGGGCTCTGCATCCAGCCCTTCGGTAAAGCGACCGGGACACAGGTCCAGACATCTCCTGCCTCTTTTAAAGGAAAAGTGGCTCCTTCCCTCCACTCTCCCTTCTTCTCTTGTGTATCGTTCCGTGGAGAACTCTGAAACATGTACTATGTGGAACCCCACAGCGTTAACAACATTTTAAGTCCGAGTCCGCTCCGATGGCTCCTCCCGGAAGCCACCCCAGGGAAAGAGCCCGGGAGCCGGAGGCAGCACCGGCGGGAGCCGCCCTCCATCTGCTTACCACGTGTGTTGGTAGCCATGTCGGCCACTTTCTGAAAGGCGTCCAAGAAGGCAGCTGCTGCTACTACTGTCGTCCTAAAACACAAACAGATGACACAGGCATGAGGAATGTCATTACCGCTCAAGGGCGAAAGCCTCCGCGGAGGGCTGCCTGTGACCCTCAGGACAATCCAGCCAGCGGGCCAAGGACCACCTTCTGCTTGGTGGTCCCACCTTTTTCTTAGGGGGCATTCCTCCTCCTCCTCATGTTATTCCCAACTCCGCCCCAATAACGCCCAGCTGCTCCAGTGCCAGTCAATAAACGCTGGCCATTCCTCCCATCCTGTTCCACCTGGTCCTATACAATTATTACCTGGTAACATTTCACAAAGGAGGGAAAGACAGGTGTTTCTACCGAAAAGAGAAACATGATTAAAAACTACCAAGGGTTCCAGTGAAAATTAATTTTAGAGTAGGAATCTTAGCCAGAGATCATCTAGTGGAAGTAGCTCGTGCTAGAGAAGGGAAAACGGCGAACACATCTACAAGGTGGCTTTCCAGCTACGTTCAGACCAGAGCTGGGGCTGGTGGTCGGTCCCGGGACTCACAGTCCCATGCTCGTCCCACTACACATCAAGGTCCTGGCTGTGTGACCTTCCCCCTAAATCGTCATCACAGTGAAACAGATCATTTTCCAACCATAGGCTACCTAACTGCATCTTCTAAAGTCCTAATAGCTGAGATTAGGGAGAAGTCCTACACTCATCTGCTGGCCTAGAAATAATTTTGAATTCGCCACATGCCCTTGAGCACTATAAGATGAGCTGAGCGCTCTGCGGTCTCCCGCTTCCCGGAGCTGGGATCTGAGACGTCATTCAGGGAAGAGCAGATGGGGGATCCCCCCAAACAAGCATGCCAGCACCAAGATGTGTACTTAGAACTACAATCCAGCTCTAGCCTGATGTAGTTCTAAGTATTTTATCCAGCTCTAGCCTGATGTAGTTCTAAGTATTTTATACAAGAATCCAGTCTTGACTTAGCAAGTGAATGAATGCAATGGTTCTGAAGGAAGATGAAAATAAAGATGAAAAAGGAAAGAGTTCAAAACAGAGAAGCAGAGAAGAAATGGCCTTTAAATATAAGCTATGAAACACTGGCTCTGAAACAAAGGTTCCTGGCGCTCGGCGTGGTCTCTGAACACCGGGCACCAGTCCCTGAGTGCCTAGCTTCAAAATCAGGCCTGATATTTTCCATTCTGCTCCACTTTTATATCATTGACTTAAAAAAGGAAAGGGAGAGGGTGAGAGAGATTAGAAAAATCAGTGATGAGAGAGAATGATTGATCAGGGCTGCCTCCAGCACACCCCACATTGGGGACCATGCCCGCGATCCAGGCATGTGCCCTGACCAGGGATCAAATTGTGACCTCCTGGTTCATAGGTTGACACTCAACCACTGAGCCATGCCAACGAGGCTCTGCTCAAGTTTTGTTTTTTTAATGACATACAAGAACAAAACCAAAATGTCAAAAATCCCACTTGGAAGCGCATTTTTAAAAGATCTGACATTCAATGCAAACCCTGGAAAAGTTAGCTTTCTCAAACATCCTGGGATTTAAAAATAGCTCATTCTGACACACAATTAATATCTGACACGGTGGCTGGATTTATTCTCATTCAAGTCCATGCCGATCATCCAAATTTAATGAGCCTGCTGTCGGGGTGTCTGGCGCATCACCCATCATCGGGGCTCCACGGAAAACGAGGTGGTCAAGGGTGACGCGTTCAGAGCTTTAACGTCTCCCGGTGAGTCATAGCTCGGTATCTGCTGTTGTCACGAGACCTCTTAGGCCAAACACTCCGCCCCGGGCAGCAGGAAGGAGTGATTCTTGGGTTTCAGTGCTCCGGGCCTACTTGCCTCTTCTAGCCTTCTCTTCATCCTTTCTCAAATACAGACAACAGCACCATGTGCGTGAGGCCCCTGTCATGAATGGTCCCCACTCTCAGGAGGCCTAAGTGTTGTCAAAAACTACAAAATGGACTTTGTACCACTGGCGGTAAGATAAGATTGCTCCTAAGTCTTACTTGGTATATTGTTGAATCAGTTAATTACTTGAAGCTTCTGCTTCCTCATCGGTAAAAAGGAAAGGGAAACTTTTCCAAGGTCCATCTTGAAAGCTTGCCAGACAGTTAAATGAGGCCAGATAAGAAAAAGTATGCGTGTGGTAGGGGGTGGGGGGTGGGGGAGAGGTTAACATAAGTGCTTTATTGTTTTACTACACAACACCTCCAGGAGGGAGGCTAACCTATTTGAAATGAATGATAGCAGTGGCTGAGGAGGGGGATGGGCTGCAGATGTAACTAATGCACAGCTGGAAGGGTCCTGCGTTCTGAGCAGAGGAGCAGAAAGTAACGAAGTTCTTAAGCAAAGAAATGTGAAAGCACTTGACAACTAGAGGAGGAGCGGTAAGCCAGGCCCAATGTCCGCCTGGAGGTCCACTCACAGCTCTGGAAACCCCAGGCTCATGGGGGGAAACCACAGGCAGGAAGGTGCAGGGATGAAGGGGGAAAAGATCCACTTCTCCCGAGTTCCTCTCTCCTGATCTCCAGGGGGCCATGCCATGTCCTGCCCTGAGGCCAAAGCTCTGGGACCACAGGCAAAGGCCACGAACATCATGCCATCCTCATACATCCAAACCAACTCTGTCATCCCCGTATGCCATGAATAAGGGCCATGAAATTGATTGCTTTCTGAAGGTCCCATCCCTCATGGAGCACCAGCAAAGTGCAAAAATAACCCTTCTTCCCACGGGTGGATGGGCATACAGTTTTAGCAAGAAGATGTTGATATATTTCCTATTTCTTATCAGATGATACATGAACAAGCACAGGATGGAGCAATAAGAACAGCCCCTTGGGGCATTATCAGCACTAAATCTTACGGTTTTTTTGAAGCAGCTTTACTGAGGCATAATTTGTATACCATAAAAACTCACCCCTGTTAGCTACACGACTCAATGATTTTTTAGTAAATTTAGAGTTATGAAACAACCAAAAGCAATCCAATTTTAGGAACATTTTCATCACCCCCCCAAAAAAAAAATCCCTCGTGTCCATTTGTCATCAGTCTTCTTTTGCATTCCTGGCCCCAGGCAACCACCAATCTACATCTGTGTCTACACATTTGCTTTTTCTAGACATCTCATGTAAATGGGATTCTATAATGGGCAAGACTGAGTTTTGAACTCTTTATACGAATAGGCCATAGCAGAATGGACTCTGGAGCCGAACTCTGTAAGTTCAAATCCCTGTCATTTACTAGCTGTGTGACTTCAGATAAGTTATTCAGCTTATCCATGACTCAGTTTCCTCATCAGTATAACGGGGGTAACAGCTACGCCTAGCTCTTGGGGTTTTAAGATTTAATTAAGTTAACATATGCTCGGCACATAGTGAGTGTGCTCTATAAAGGCTGCCCATTATTACTTTATATATAATACCGCATTCAACTCTCAAAGTTCCTGTGGAGGAGGCAGAGCCGATGTTATATGTGCATGTTGGGGCCATCCCATCCCATCCTTTGTGTAAGGACGTTGCCATTTTCCTGGGGAAGGAAGACCTGCTTCCACTTACCGAAGCTGGGACTGCAGTTTCCCTGCTTTGTTTATGAAGTCTTCCCAAACCGGGTAGCTCCCCTGCAACAGAACAAAGCCATCCATCAGTACGTCATGCCGTGACAGACATGTGACCCAGACAGTAACACAAACACCCAATCCCGACTCCACAGGAACAATCTCTTCCCGTGTTTGCTCTCTTCCCATGCAGTCTGGCCTATTACCCAGGTGACAGATAAACGTATTGGCCCCAGAATGGGGTTAGAATATGCTCAGTCCTGCAATCGAGTCAACACTGCAGATACCAGCTGGAACAAGCTGGGCAGAATCTAATATGTACGGCGATGCATCCCTTTTTGAGTCAATAGATGGCGGGTCCACGTTTTAAGATGTGCAGGATAGTCAAGGCTCTGCCTTAAATATTCTGCATATCCTGGGAATGCACTTCCTGAGAAAGCCTCCTTTTCTCTCCACCTGACCTTGGCCCTGGCTGTTCTCCCTCTTATTCCAAACGGTAGGGAGGAGGGAACCAGGGGGACTGGGCTCTTCCCGGGACAGGTGCCCATTGGGAAGCATTGTCAGAATCTCAAGGTTGGGAAGTTACACACATACAGTATAGCTGCTCCGAGGATGGCTTGAAGCTAGCAGGGTACTTAGCTTCTGTACAACAGGTGTCCCCGCACCCCCTCCCCCCGAACACTTCAACCATCACCTTCCCATGGCAGCCTGTATCTCCCATCCTGGCTCATACATCCACGCAGCCCTAAGTCTATCCTTCTGGGCAACTTCACAGTTACATTTAATATTTGTCTACCCGATATTAAAATGGACTATTTCCGGGAGCTAAGATTCAGACAGTGGGTTGCTTTCTTGGTCATACTTTCCTCTCTGGTTATAGTTTGGATTTCATTTGTTTCGTTTTTTTTAATAAGGCCATGTATCATTTTTACAAAGACAATAAAAGTCATTACATAAAAAATTTAAAAATTTTTAAAAAGTAAGATCAAATTAGAGCTTCTGGCAAGGACAGCAACATGAATTTACAATCTATCCAAACCCTAAAGCCTCTTGTTCACAAGCTTCCACATGGAAGTCTTTCCAAAGGACTGAGGATAACCAGCACATTCACCCACAGCTTTCCTTCTTTCAGCATCCCCCCACCCCCCATCAAATTCAATTCTATCTCTACCTGCTTCATATCCCCACAGCATTCTGGGAAAACATCATGTCACTCTACTATTTTTATTTTTATTTTTCATATTGATCTTCAGAGAGAAAGAGGAAGAGAGAAGGAAAGAAAGAGAAGCATTGATGTGAAAGTGAAACATCCATCAGCTGCCTCCTGCATGACTCCTACTGGGAATCAAGCCAGGAACCCCAGCATGTGTCCTGACCGGGAATCCAACTGGCAACCTGTTGGTGCAAGGAACGATGCCCAACCAACTGAGCCACACCAGCCAGGGCTCCCTCCTCTTTTTCTAAGCAAGGTACTCAGACATGAACTCAAGCCTGCAGGTACAATTCTGCCAGGGTGAAACCAGTGAGGGTCTGACACCTCCCTGCACCTGCACATGACATTTACATTCAGATCAGTAGCCAACCAACCAATAGGTGATGCAAAACAAACCAACAGGCGATGCAAACAAACCCAGAGAAGCGGAAACCATGGTTACAGAAGTGTTGTTTGGCATTGAATCATTTAAATATAGAACTAACACTAAACACCTGGGGGTGTTTGTTGCAGGATGGAATATAAATGCTATGTTAAAAACAACACAGGCCACCTCTTGATTTTGTTGTCAAGGGGCAGGAGGGAGAAACTATATAATGAAGTAAATCATCTCATCTTTCAATACAGAGGCCCAATCAAAATAGTTTGAAGCTGCAATTTAGCTAAAACTTAATAATTTCACCTTCCTAATGGTTTCAATACTCTTTTTCTTACCCTTATAGCAGTTTCTCAACTGTGCCACTAATGATATTTTGTGCCCAATCATTCTTTTTTTAAAGGGCTGTCCTGTGCATCATAGGATGTGTAGCAGCATCCTGGACCTGTACTCACGAGATGCCAGTAACATTCACAGATATCGCTGGCTGTGACAACCAAAATGTGTCCAGACAATGACAGATGTCCTCTTAGGGGCAAAATCATCCCTGGTGAAGAATAATATCTGAGAAACTTATTTCTTTCGGTGCAAAAACAATTCTCTGGAGGTTAGCAATTTCTTTGGTATTACTTCAGTTTCAATTTTTCTGTTAAATGAAAGTAAAATATATTTTTATTCTGAAAATATGCAGGGCATGGAGCCCCTTGTTTTAAAAGTGCCATGTATACCTTTCCCTAACAATCAAGTCTGTCTGAACACGTGCAGGCACACGTCTGGAAAATTACCCACCAAACAGTAAAATGGACTGTTTCTGGGAGTGAAAATTTGGACCAATGGAATGCCTTCCTGTCTGTACTTTCCTCTCTGCCCCTAGTTGTTGTTGTTAATAAGCTCATGTATCATTTTTATGAAAATAGTAAAAGTCATTTACATTAAAAAAACAACAAGATCAAATTAGAGGTTCTGGAACAGCAGCACCGTGAATGTACTGCCCGTGCAGACCCTGAAGTCCCTTGCACACACACAGCTGCTAGAGCGCGCCCATCCATTCTGCACCGGTGCATCTGAGACCTGCATGGCCTCACCACAGGCCTCTCTCTGGGTTGCTCCTCCAGGCTGCAATGTGCTCCCATGGGATGCTAAGCTGCACCAGGTCAGGGGTCCTGTCTGCCTGGTTCCTGGCAGAGGCCCTGAGGCAGCGACACCTGAGCTACTGACACCAACACTCATGCACAGGTCTTGTCACCACACCGTGCAGCCACCTTTGTGCCCCGGTTCTTCAACCCAAGACCATCACTTTATTTTAGCTTACGTTGCAAGAGCTCAGGCTTACCACCATTCTAGGTCCATCAGACTTTGTGGGAAAATCCAATGACCCACTTAACACATTTACCATTTTCTGATCCAGCCAAGGTAGGAACACCCCTTCTATACCTACATCCACATAAAGAAAGAGTGGAGGGCCAAGATCAGAGTCCACTGACTGGCCAGTAGAGACCTCTGTCCAGACGGGCATCAGTGAGCATCCTTAAGAGTGCAAGAGTTTACCGGGACCGGTTTGGCTCAGTGGATAGAGCGTTGGCCTGCGGACTGAAAGGTCTCAGGTTCGATTCCGGTCAAGGGCATGTATTATACCTTGGTTGTGGGCACATCCCCAGTAGGGGGTGTGCAAGAGGCAGCTGATCGATGATTCTCTCTCAACAATGTTTCTAACTCTCTATCCCTCTCTCTGCCTCTCTGTAAAAAATCAATAAAATATTTTTTTTTTAAAAAGAGTGCAAGAGTTCAACCAACCAATTACAGCCATTCGCTCTCTTTCTGACCCACAAGGCAGTATACGAAGCTGTTTGAAAAGCCCATGTTCAGACCCACTGACCACCAATTTCTAGCAAAGTTACCATCACCTCTCATCTACACCAAGAAGAACATGAGAGCCACCTCTTCCTCTCCCCAGCGCCAACCACTCCCATCAAGGGAGCCCCTGACAAAGGTCACGGAGATGAACCAGGGGCAAGAAGCCTGAGCAGGGAGCATCAAGCCCTGAGTTCTAGCCAGGATCCTGCCAGTAAATGACTGGTGTGGCTCAGTGGATAGAGTGTCAGCCTATGGACTGAAGGGTCCCAGGTTCTATTCCGATCAAGGGCATATACATTGGTTGTGGGCACATTCCCAGAAGTAGGTATGGAGGAGGCAACTGATTGATGTTTCTCTTTCAATGTTTCTAACTATCCCTCTCCCTTCCTCTCTGTAAAAAAGTCAATAAAATATATATATTTTTTAAAAATGACTGGATGAAGTCACTTCACTTCTCAGGGCCTGTTCCTTCTCATGATAAATAGTAACAAAAAACAATTCCATCACCATCACTGAACACTGACATCACTGAACACTGGAAGAATGTAGGGAAGGAATCAAGAACCCAATGCAGGAGTTCAATCTGAATCTTCACTCTCCGTTTGCAATGTGACCCTTGGCAAGTCAGTCGCTGGAGCCCTGCATGAGGATGGTCACTACTTCCCGGGGCTGGGGTGAGGAATGAAGGAGGTCAGACATTAACCTGCTCAGTGAGTGTTCCACGCACAGGTGAGAGGACTGATCCAAGCATTGCTCAGGCTGTCGGGAGAGAAGTCATAAACTCTCTAAGTCAGGCGGTCCATCCGGGCGGGAATCCCTCATGCTCTGTCCTCAGAAGGAACCAATGGTATGCGGGCACACTGTGTGTGGCACCCCGAGTTCACCACAGTCACAGCGCAGTGTCAGACAGAGGCTCTGCCCCTCCCGAGTGCATGGAGGGTGGAGTACTCCAGTGCGAGAGGAACACTCCTGAAAACGACTGCTCCCACCACTTCAAAAGCTCCTTACCTGCCCCGCCTCGGAGCCTCATTTCAGTCTTTACTGAATTAGCAACCAAAGGAGGGTCCCCTCTCTCGTGGAGGGGAGCAGCCCGCCGCCCGCGCCCACGCACACCCACGCAGCCCGCGAAGCCTGCCAAGAGCGGCTCTCTCCCGTCTTCATGATCTTTGAAGTCTCTCAAAGTGTCAGGCCCACCTCTTTCAGGCAACCCGTAATTTAATGGGTTCTAAAATAAATGGATTTCTAAGAACGCAAGACAAAAACCTCCTTGTGTAAGAAAAAAGTTTTTTTAAGTGTGTAAATGTTATTAACTCTTAAAGGCAAGGTGATTTGGATTGCTCCATATATTTTTTTCAAGTTTCTTCCAAAGTTTCTACCACCTGAAAGTAGTTCTGCTACAAACACCCAGAAGTGTGGAGGAAGGGAGAGAGGAGGGAGCAGGTCTTGGAGGAAGGGTCCCAGGGCAAAGCCAGGAGTTGTTCTAGACTCCCAGACTCAGGAAAGGAAAGCACCCTCACATTTCAGAGGAAGTGTGCAGGGAGAGACACTGCATGCCCTGAGGACCCTTTTAGGAGGCAAGTCCCAGACAGTCCTTCCCCTTCCGACCTACACCCCACCAGC